GTATGTCTTCCTTTGAAAAATGTCTATTCAGCTCCTTTGTCCATTTTTTAATAGGATTTTTGTTTTTTGCGTTTTTTACTGTGTAATCACTTAAGTTCCTTGTATATTACGGATATTAATCCCTTGTTGGATGCATAGTTAGCAAAACTTTTCTCCCCCTCTGTAGGTTGTCATTTCACACTGTTGATTTGTTTCCTTTGCTGTGCAGAAGCCTTTTAGTTTAATATAGTCGCATTTGTTTATTTTTTTCTTTTCTCGCCTGTGCTTTCAGGCTCATGTTCATAAAGTCTGTGCCCAGACTAGTCTCTGAAGTGTTTCACCTATATTTTCCCTTAGTAATTTTAGTTTCAGGTCTTATACTTAAGTCACTAACCCATTTTGAGTTTATTTTAGTATATGCGTATACTAAAATAATTTACTAAAACATATTTAGGATATTTTTGCATATTTAGTGACATATTCTGGTTTCCTATAGTTCCTCTTCACAAAGTTGTACCTGTAATACTGACATACTCTTCATACATGTTAACTGTCTTCTCATACTCTTGACTCAAATGAAATGTCATGAGCTTCTTTTCTTATGCATATCAGATTTCTTAATGGTGACATTAAGATTTACCAGAATTCAAGTACATTTTCAAGTTAGTCTCTTTATACAAAAGAATTTTGAAATATTTAAGGGTTTGGTTTGCTAGATTTACATAGCGCTCAGTTCTACTAACACAGCAGATTTCAAGGATATAACTGCAAACAACATGGGTTTAACTCAGCCAGGTTTAGTTTTTTTGGAACAGTGTTGGATTTTTTGACAAAAGAATAAAATGGTTTTTGCTAGTATTTAATATATGGAGACCAGTTCTGTGTGTGGGCAGAGGAAGAGACTTGGCTCGTACTTGGGCATGAGAAACTTAAGAGTCGCTGGAAAATATACGACTAATAAATGCTAGAATGCTTTTAACTCTGTGCCTGTCTCTTCATGGCCAGTGAACTAGGGCCACTGCCATCATTTGGGTTTAGAATCCCAAACCTTGTGTGAGGACAACTGGGCATTAAAAGTAAAGTTGCGGTAACTTCTATAAGGAGCTAAAAGAATCTTATATATTACACAAAACTTTTTTCTAGGACTGTGAAACAAAATTTACACAACAAAACTAACTTAAAAAATAGTAACTCACATTCAAAGCTGTGTATTTCCATTACATGTATGTACAGACATCTCCTGCTTAATGACAGTAACCTGTAAAAATTAAATGTTCTGTGTGAAAATGCTAACAGAATTTGATACACCTCAACCAAAATCCACCCATTTCCTGAAAATACAACTGAAACGCAATAAAACCATCATGATAGAATGTAAGATACCTGAAACATCTTTTTGATGGAAGTCGCTTTGATTGCAGTAGTACCTTCTCTTCCACTGTAATTGTTTTCCCACTAAGGCACTCACATGGCTTCCTTCCCTAGTTTTGGACACATGCTCTACTTTTGGGGGATTTGCATGACCCTAGGCAAAAACAAGGGCTAGACGTGGAAGGCACCGTGAAAACGCGTTCTGAACAAGCACACATTTCTCTTATATAAACATCGGCTGATAAATGTAAGAGGGATAGGTAAGACAGCAAGCCTCCGTGAAGCTTCAA